CTGGATTTCTTTAAAAAAAAAAAAAAAAAATAAGGTTGGGAGAGGATCCAGATAATCCCTGACTTGCATGGCCTGGAATTCATGTACCTACCGCATATCTTTTTTTTTTTTTTTTTTTTATTCCCTCTAGTATTGGGACTTGAACCCAGGGCCTCACCCTTGCTAGGCAAGCACTCTATTACTGAGCTATATCCCCAGCTCAGCATATGTCTTCTGAGTAACTACTCTGGGCCAGTCACTGTGCTATATGAGCTATCCATGTCTTCAAGGAGTTTGTGATTTGGGGGAGCAGATGAATGTATAAGTAGTTATAAAAGAATGGGGTCAGTGTTGTGGCAAAGGATATGTAGGATGCAGTAGGTGCAGCTAGCAGGCTCTGCACCTGTGAGTCTTGAAAGCTGAGTGGGAATTCTCTAAGGCATCAAGGGGAGGGAAGGGCATGTCACTAAATGCTATTCTTTTTTCTGGAGAGGAGAGAGAGAGAGGTGATCTAAGTACCATTTTGTATCATTTTGTTCTGTCAAAATGCATTCCCTGGGAATGTAGTGCAGTGACTGAGCACTTGCCTAGTGTGCCTGGAGCCTCTGGGCTCAGTCCCAGTACCAACAAAAACACACACACAGCCCCCCCCCCCCCACACACACACACACACAGGGAATACACTAATGGGGCTATTTCTAGGTGATAGGAAATTGCTTTTTTAAAAAGTATGGTTCCACGTTCACATGCAATCCCTGCACTCTTGGCTCAGTTTGCCCCAGTGGTAACATGTTGCAGAATGTTGCTGTTGATAGAGTACATTTCCACTCACCACAAGATCATGCTGATCCCTTTTAGAATCACATCCAGTTTCTTCTTGCCCTCATCCTTTCTTTAACTCCTGAAAACCATTAATCTGTTCTCCATTTTTATAAATTAATCATTTAAAGAAAGTTACATAAATGGAATCATTAGTATGGGACATTTTGTGATTGTTTTTTCACCCATCATCATTCTCTGGAAATCATTGCATTTACCAATGTTTTGTTTCTTTTTATTGCTGGGTCATATTCCATGACAGTAGATATATAATAGTTGGTTTAATTACTCACCCATTGAAAGCATCTAAATTGTTTTCAGATTTTTTTTTTTTTTCCTTCCTTTCCTTTTGTTTTTCCCCCAGTTACTGGGGATTGAACCCAGGCATGCACTCTCTACCACTGAGCTACATCTCCAGCCCTTTTTATTTTTTATTTTGAGACGGTCTTGCTAAATTGCCCAGACAGACTTTAAACTTGCCATCCTCCCCCTCAGCCTTCGAGTATTATTACAGGCATCGCATACAACCACACAGACTCATTCTACAGTCTTTGCTTCTTTTTCAGCTCTTCTGTTCAGTGCATATCCGTTTTGGACTGCTATGCTGTCTTCGCAAAATGACCCTTTTATCATATCTAGTGTCTGCCTCTGTCTTTTGTAATTTTCGTTATTCTGAGCTATCAAAGTAAAGCCACTTTGGTCAGTGTTTACATGACATATCTTTTCATATCCTTTTACTCTCACCCTGCCTTTATCCTTATATTTGAAGTGTGTTTCCTGTAGATGGCATTTATTGGGTCATTTACTTTATTTCATTTCTTTTAAATGGACAGATAAAATTGTATGCATTTACCATTTACAATGTACTGTTTGGAGTATGTATACATTGTGCAATGACTGAATCTAGCTAATTAGCATGAGCATCACTTCACAGAGTTATCTTTTTTTGTGTTAAGAATGGGTCATTTTTACTTGGTGTATTTAGACCACTTACATTTACTGTACTTATTGATATGGTAAGTTTGCCATTTTCTTTTTGTATTTTGTTCTCTCTTTATTCCATCTCTCTTTTCTTATGCCTGCCTCCCTATTACTTGAACACTTCTTAGGATTCCATTTTGATTTGGTGATTGCTCTAGTATTGCTTTATATATGTAACTTATCACAATTTGCTGGTGGTGTCATTTTACCAGTTTGAGTGGTGGGGGGCGGGGCTGGACTCGGTGCTACATGCCAGTAATCCCAGTGGCTTAGGAAGGAGGGTGTCGAGTTCAAAGCCAGCCTCAGCAATAGCGAGGCCCTAAGCAACTCAGTGAGACACTGTCTCTAAATAAAATACAAATAGGGCTGGGGATGGGGCTCAGTGGTTGAGTGCCCCTGAGTTCAATTCCTGGTCCCCCCCCCCCCCAAAAAAAAATCCTTTTTTTTCCTTTATATTTCTTTACCCTCCCATTTATATTGATTTAAGTATTTCCTCTCTATAACCATATTACATGGTGTTATAATTTTAGCTTCAATCATCAGACATAACTTAGAAACCTGAGAAGGGGAAACCCTGTTGTATTTAACCATATTTTTTCTATCCTTGTTTCTTTCCAGTATTCCAAGGTTTCTTTTTTTTATTATTCCCTCTGCTTAGAGAACCTTTTAAGCCATTCTTTTAGTGTAGGTCTGCTGATGAGAAAGTCTCTTAAATTTCCCTTCATCGGAGGATGTCTTGATTACCTCCCCTTCCTGAAAATACCTTCCCTGGGGATCGGATTCTGAATTAACAGTTCTTTTCTTTCAATACTTGAAAAATATATTCCACTTCCTTCTAATCTCTGTCATTGTAATAAGAAATCTACTATTATTATAATTGTTTTGCCCTGTAGATGATGTGTTATTTTTTTTTCTGGCTGCTTTTAAGATTTTCAAAAATTTGTTTTTAGTTATCAGAAGCCTAATTATGATGTATCATGACATTTTTTAAAGGTTTGTTCTATTTGGGGTTTGCGTTTCTTTCTTTCTTTCTTTTCTTTTTTTTTTTTAGTTGTAGTTGGACACAATACCTTTATTTTCACGTGGTGCTGAGGATTGAACCCAGGGCCTTGCACATGCTAGGTGAGCGCTCCGCCACTGAGTCCCAGCCCAGCCCTCTGTCCCTGTTTCTTTGGGTACTTTTTTTTAAAGAGTGGGGGGGAGGGAGGGAGAGAGAGAGAGAATTTTTTTTTTTTAATATTTATTTTTTAGTTTTCGGTGGACACAACATCTTTGTTTGTATGTGGTGCTGAGGATCGAACCCAGGCAGCACGCATGCCAGGCGAGCGCGCTACCGCTTGAGCCACATCCCCAGCCCTCTTTGGGTACTTTTTCAACTTATCCCTGTCTCTGTTGTCTGGTCTCTGATGACATGAATGGGTGTCTCAGGGACTCTAGCCAGCCTCCTGCCCTGTGCTCTTCCAATTGGAATGCCTGGGTTCATGAAAGAAGCCAGGCTTGATGACTTTCATTAACTAATAGCTCCTTTGTTCTGGCTGAAAGATGCCCTGCCCTGGCTTTTCTCAGCTGCCTCCAGGTAGATACAGTGTTGCGTGTCCTGAGGAGGAAGAACTGGCAGCCTCTTTGCCTATTTTGAAATTGTTTCCTCTTCTTTCTTTTCTATTGTTCTCTGGAATGTCACAGAGCGGTCACTGTAAACTCAGAAAATGCTTTACTTCCCCAAGGGCTGTGGCAGGCGGCAGTTCTCCAGGATGTAGTAGCAGAAGGAACACAGGTAACTGAGACATGGATGCCTGGAAGGCCTTGGAGTGCTTAGGGAGCCACACAGGAATCATTCAAATGGAAGAGACAAGATAATAGGATGCCCAGAATGCAGGGTAGCCTCGCGGAAGATGTGGCCTTTGAGGTGAACTCTGTGGGGCTTGAACCTACCCCAGGTGAGAACAGGAAGGAAGTGAAGGAGGGTGGGAACAAGGACACTGAAGATGGAAAGCATGGGGCGGCTTGGCCAGTTTGAGGGACCACAGCAGGAGAGTAACCAGACTGGAGAGCCCCTGTGGATCTGCCTAAGGATCTAGCTTTTATTTGGTAGGAATTGAGTATTTATAAAACCAGCTACTTTTCTGGGATTGGAAAGTTTTGGGGTCATTCCAAGAAGTGGGAATAGGCTAACATTTGTGTGCTCCCCTCTAGACATTTTTAGTTAACCCCCTCATTGCCAGGGTATGGTAGAGTACCCCTATAATCCCAGCAGCTAAGGAGGCTGAGGCAGGAGCACTGGGAGTTCAAAGCCAGCCTCAGCAATTTAGCAAGGCGCTAAGCAACTCAGTGAGACCGTGTCTCTCAATAAAATACAAAATAGGGCTGCAGATGTGGCTCAGTGGCTGAGTGTCCCTGGGTTCAAAAAGAGAAAACCTCATTTGGATGTAGTATTCCAGTTTATAGATAAGAACATTGAGTTAACTGTCTGACCACACTGAGATTTGAGTTCTGACCAAAGACTGACTTCTTCTCCACCAAGTTCTATAACATTTGAAAAGAAGGTTCCTTCAAACCTTCTAGGGTAAGATGGCCCCTGCTTTTCCCTCTTGCTCCTTTTTACCCTCTCTCATTCTTAAATTGTATCCAGAAAGTTAAATTTTTACCCTTTGAGTCATGAAAGAAAATCTACGTTATCTTTTGAAATTAGGATGATCTCTAGATAATACCTATTATCTTGTCTGCTTTCATTTGGATAATTTCTGTGTGGCTCGGAGAAATGGGTTTTAGATTCAGGTATTTTTTTATAGCCTGGGTCAGGAAGAACTCCCTAGTCTTGTAAAGTGCAGCGATGGCGTCGTGGCTGGTTGCCAGGGCCCTTGTGGATTGGAGTGATCACTCCAGGGACGACCTCCCTGGGGGATGGGGAGTAGTCCTCTTGGTGTTTCTTGTGATGTGAGAACCACAGTGGCTCCACTGGAGCTGTTTGGAGCAATGTGCCATCGAGTGTCTGGTGTGGTAGAGAGAGGACTTTCAGATGCCCTGGGGACATGCCAACACCCAGGAGTGACTGATCTTAGGCCAGCTGACACCACATCTCTGGGCCTCGGTTCTCGCCTGTGAGCAGTGACTGGTCCTAAGGCTTACTGCACAGGGTTGGCTAACATGCACCTGCACCAGCAGAACTTGTACTGCAGACTGTAAAGGTAAGGAGTCACTGTTGCTGTCATTGTCATTGTTAGGGCAGCGTGGACATTCTCAGACTGACTCTCCAGAGTGAACTGACAGGAGAGGAGCTTGAGCACATAGCCCAGAAGGTATTGAGGTTCCTGGGGGTCAAGGCCTCACCCCTCAGCCACTTCTCCTTCCCTGCTACTGACCACTCACCCCAGTGCTGCCTGAAGCCACCCTGCTGCTGTGAGCTTGGGAGCCTCTCCTTTCACACACATCTAGCTGAGCTCAGCATTACGCACTGCTCTAGGGGGTGGGGACCACTGAAGTGAAACTAACCTGCAGTTTCTACTAATGATCCCACCGAGTGTCCTTGAGGCTGTGTGGCTTCCTTTGGAGGTTCTGAAATGAATTTTTGGACGGGAAGCAAACTAACACTTCATGTCTTTTGAGGAGCAGGTCTAAGTACTGGTCAAGGGACAGGAGTTCTGGGCTTGTCGCGTGGTCTGTGAGCCGCTCTTCTGTCTCTCTTCCCGGCAGGTGGGCAGGAAGACCTATGCCATGGTGTCTGGTCGTTCGACTGGTCATTCTCTGGCCTCGGAACTGGTGGAGTCCAATGATGGACATGAGGAGATCATTAAGGTAAGCGTGACACCCCCTTCCCCCTCCCTCCTTTTTCCTACAGGCACATGCAAGGGGACAGCTGAGTGTTGCCAAAGGGAGCTTGTGGTCTGGCTGGAAGGACTAGACCTGAGTGCTAGTTCTTGGTCGTCTCCTGGACAGATCTTAATTAACCAGGAAACCACAGTCTGCTGTCATGACTTTGGTACAGCCTGGCCCAGGGTACGGGGATGGACGGGATGATTTTTCTGGGTACGTGTCCACTTTGCCTATGTTTTGCTACTGGAGATTCTGGAGATAGCGGGGAGATGTGTTCATGGTACTTACTTTTAAGAATTAAAATGATTTGGCTGGACATGGTGGCACATGTCTACAATCTCAACAACTCTGGGGGCTGAGGTAGGAGGATCACAAGTTCAAGGCCAGTTTGACCAAGGTATCAGGATGCTGTCTCAAAATACAAATGGAAAGGTCTGGGATGTACCTCAGTGGTAGAGTGGGTTCAATCTCTGTACCAAAAATAAATAAAATAAAACAGTTTGCCTGGTGCATTGGTGCACATCTGTAATCCCAGCTACTTAGGAGGCTGAAGCAGGAGGATTGTAAGTTCAAGATCAGCCTCAGCAATTTAGTGAGACCCTTTCTCAATAACAAATAAAAAGGGAGTCAGGGGTGGTGGTGTATGTAGGAGGATCATGAGTTCAAAGCCACCCTCAGTAATAGTGAGATGCTAAGCAACTAACTCAGTGAGAACCTGTCTCTAAATAAAATACAAAATAGGGCTGGGGGATGTGGTTTAGTGGTCGAGTGTCCCTGAGTTCAATCCCAGGTACCCCCAAAATAAATAAATCAATAAATAAAATAAAAAGGGCTGGGGGTGTACCTTAGTGGTAGGGTGCCCCTGGGTTTAATTCTCAGTACCAGAAAACAAAATTAATACAATTTTTGTTATTTCTTTTGTAAAAATAGTTTTTTTGTGATATAACTCACACACCGTACAATTGACCCAGTATTCAGTGGTTTTTAGTATGTCCACAGAGTCGTATAATCATCATCGCTAATTCCAGAATATTTTGTTATTTTTCCCAGCTCCTGGCAACCAATAGTCTACTTTCTGTCTCTTGGATTTGCCTATTCTGGATATTTCTTTATGTATTTCTTTATTTTGTTGGGGGTACAGGGGTTGAACTCGGGCGCTTCACCACTGAGCCACATCCCCAGCCCTATTTTGTATTTTATTTAGATACAGGGTCTCACTGAGTTGCTTAGCAACTCTGTAAATTGCTGAGGCTGGCTTTGAACTTGTGATCCTCCTGCCTCCACCTCCTGAGCTGCTGGGATTACAGGCGTGGGCCACTGCCCGTTTTTTTTTTTTTTTGTGTGTGTGTGTTGTGTTGGGGATTGAACCCAAGGCCTTGGGCATGTGAGGCAAGCACTCTACCAACTGAGCTATGTCCCCAGCCCTGGGTATTTTGTATAAATGGAACCATACAATAGATGACCTTCTGTCTTTCTTTCTTTCTTTTTTTTTTAAAGAGAGAGAGAGAGTGTGTGTTTTTTAATATTTATTTTTTAGTTTTCAGCGGACACAACATCTTTATTTTATTTGTATGTGGTGCTGAGGATCGAACCCAGCACTGTGCGCATGCCAGGCGAGCGCACTACCGCTTGAGCCACCTCCCCAGCCCGACCTTCTGTCTTTCACTTAGCATACTTTGAAGGTTCATCTATGCTGTAGCTTGTATTGGAACTCACTCCTTTTATGAAATAGTGAGCATCAGTTGGTAAATACCTGGGTTGTTTCCACTTTCTGCCTCTTGTGAATAATGCTGGTATAAATTCTCATGTGCAAGTTTTTGTGTGAACTTGTTTTCAGTCCTCTGGGTATATCCCAAGGAGTGAAATTGCTAGGTCATTTGGTAACTCTATATTTAATCAAAAGGAACTGTCAAACTTTTTTCCAAAGAAGCTGCCGCATTTTACATTTCCAGCTTTCTCTACATAGTGGTCAACACTTGTTGTTACCTGTCTTTCACATTGTAGCCGTCCTGGTGAGTGTGAAGTGGTATCTAGTTGTGGTTTTAATTTGCATTTCCAGCATGACTAATGATGTTGAACATCTTTATGTGTTTATTTCCTGTTTATATTATCTTGTTTGGAGAAATATTTATTAAAATCCTTCACTCATTTAAAAAATCCAGTTGTCTGGGGCTAGGATTTATAGCTCAGTGGTAGAATGCTTACCTAGCATGTGTGAGGCACTGTGTTCAATTCTCAGCACCACATAAAAATAAAGTAAAGATGTTGTGTCCACCGAAAACTAAAAAATAAATACTAAAAAAAATTCTCTCCCTCTCTCTAAAAAATAAATAAATAAATAAACAAAATAAATAAATAGAATGAAGGTATTGTATCTATCTACAATTAAAAATTTTAAAAACCCTATTGTCTTTTAATTGCTGAGTTCTAAGAATTGTTTGTCTATTCTGGATATTAGGCCCTTATCAGATATGATTTGCAAATATTTTCTCCTATTTTGTGGATTAACATTTAATTTTCTTAATAATATCTTTTTAAACATAGAGGTTTTTAATTTTGATGATGAAATTTCTATGAGTAGGTCTGTGATCCATTTTGGGTTAATTTTCATGTATAATATGAGGAAGGAGCCAAGCTTCATTTTTGATAAGTAGGTATCCACTTTTCCCAGCACCATTTATTGAAAAGATTATCTCCCACTCCATTGAATTGTCTTGGCATTCTTGTAAAATGTCAGTTGAGTGTATTATTACAGTATTATTATTGTTTCTAGATGTTCAGTTTTATATCAGCGATCTACTTGTCAATTCTTATGCCAGTACCCTGTCTTGATTTCTGTAGCTGTATAGTAAATTTTGACATTGGAGAATGTGTGTGAGTCCTTCAGCTTTGTTCCTTTTCAAGATTGTTTTAGCTACTTAGGGTTATTTCCATTTCCATATGAATTTGAGGATCAGTTTATAGTTTCTGCAAAGAAGCCAGACTGGATTTTTTTTTAATATTTATTTTTTAGTTTTAGGTGGACACATATCTTTATTTTGTTTTTATGTGGTGCTGAGAATTGAACCCAGTGCCTCACGCATGCTAGGCGAGCGCGATACCACTGGAGCCACATCCCCAGCCCCGAGACTGGATTTTAAAAATAGGAATTATGCTTATCCATAGGTCAATTTGGAGAGTATTGCTGTCTTAACAATATTGAGGGTTTTTTTTTTGTTTGTGTTTGTTTTGGTTGTAGTTGGAAACAATACCTTTATTTTATCTTTGTGTGGTGCTGAGGATTGAACCCAGTGCCCTGCACATACCAGGCAAGCGCTCTACCGCCGAGCCACAGCCCAGCCCCAACAATATTGAGTTTTACAATCCATGAGAATGGGATGTTTCTTTCTTTTTTTAGGTCTTTGATTTCTTTCAACAATGTTTCTTAGTTTTCGAATAAAAAGTTTTGAACTTCTTTTGTTAAATTTATTTGTAAGGTTTTTTTCCTTTTTAATACTATAATAAATGGAAATGTGTTCTTCATTAATTTTTGTTGATTATTAGTATATAGAAATACAACTAGGGCTGGGGTTGTGGCTCAGTGGTAGAGCGCTTGCATCGCACATGTGAGGCCCTGGCTTCCATCCTCAACACCACATAAAAATAAATAAACAAAATAAATATGTTGTATCCATGTATAACTTAAAGAATATTTTTTAAAAATAGAAATCCAACTAATTTGTATATATTGATCTAGTATCCTTAAGCCTTGCTTATTCATACTATGGTTTTTTTCTCTTTGAGGATTTTCTATATGGGTTATGTCATCTACAAATAGAGATAATTTCACTTCTTCCTTTCCTATGCCAGCATCTTTAATTACTTTCTTTTTCTTACTCAGAGTCATTGCATGCCCCTTGAGGAAAGCAAAACTACTTTATCATTCTGTCAGTGTAACCATTGTGAGCATCTTATTGTGTGTTCTCTCAAATATCTTCCCGTACATATCTATTTTTTTTCAAACCAGTGAAATTGTATTATTACACTGTTTTATTATCTCCCCTGCCCACATTTTAATGATATATTGTAACATCATCTATATCTAAAATGTAAATAACTGACTTTTTTTAGTATTGTATGGTTTTTTTTAAATACCTTTATTATATTTTTATGTGGTGCTGAGGATCAAACCCAGTGCCTTGCACAAGTGCTCTACCACTCAGCCCCAGCCCAATACCTGACTTTTTTCTTTTTTCAATGATTGACCTCTCTTTTACTTCTTTATTTTATTTATTTATATGTGGTGCTGAGAATTGAACCCAGTGCTTCACACATGCCAGGCAAGTGCGCTACCACTGAGCCACAGCCACAGTCACAGCCCAGTATCTGACATTTTAATGACTATATAATATTCTGTTAAAGACGTACCATAATTTAATTAATCACCCATTGTTGGACATTTTGTCTCTTTCCATTCTTTTATAACTATGCATAATATTTTGCAGAACATATGTTACTAAATTGTGTATGTAATTTATAATGCAAGTAATACAGAAATATTGTCTCAATTTTAAAAGATTCAAGCATGGTATGCAAAGTATTTAAATCCTCTTTTTTACCCCTCTTTCACAGAAGGAGCCATAGTGAATAGTTAGCTATTCATTCTTCCAGTCCCTTTTCCATATAAAAAAAAAACAAAACATATAGTTATATGTTGTTTAATTGATTTTTTTTGCACTAGTATAAATTCCCAGAAGTAATTTTAATAGTTCCACAAGTAAACATATTTTCATCTCTTCTGTTTTGAATCACCAAATTGCTACCCAGTAAATTGGTGGTAATAATTTATCCTCCTTCTACCAGTATATCAGGATGTGTTCTCATGTGGAATTAATTTAACTTGAGGTTTCTTTTTTTTCCTTTACTTTTTTGGTACTAGGGATTGAACCCAGGGTTGCCTAACCACTGAGCCATATCCCCAACTCTTTTTAGTTTTTATTTTGAGACAGTGCCTTGCTAAACTGCTGAGGCCGGCTTTGAACTTGCGATCCTCTTGCCTCAGCCTCCTGAGTCCCTGGGAATACAGGCATGTGCCGCTGCACCCAGCTTAATTTGAGGTTTCTTGACTAAATAGCATTGTCTTTCTTCTTTCAGGTGTACTTGAAGGGGAGGTCTGGAGATAAGATGGTCCATGAGAAGAATATTAACCAGCTAAAGAGTGAGGTCCAGTATATCCAGGAGGTGGGTACCCCTTCCCTCTGAGGAAGTACCTAGGCCATTTTGCTAAGCCTTACATTTGGGGGGCTCTTCTTTTGTATGGGGACTGTTTTTTTCCCCTTCTCACTTTATATCACTGAAGTGCCACCACACTCTCCCATGTGTCCTGTGTCACTTTTTTTTTAGTTGTAGTTGGACACAATACCTTTATTTTTAAATTTATTTTTATGTGGTGCTGAGGATCCGTCCCAGTGCCTCACACATGCTAGGCAAGTGTGCTACTACTGAGCTACAGCCCCAGCCTCCGTATCGCTTTTAGCCCTTTGGATCCAGTCCATTAATCAGTGGATACTTATGGAGTACCAGGTGCCTCGCAGTCTCCCTGCATTCTGTCTAACATTCTCAGCACCTTCCCCAACATTTCCCAGCGCACCCCTGGCTTGTCTCTCCTTGGCATTCACCACCGTGAAATATACTCTCGTGCATCTTCCCAGCTAGAATGCCACCATGACCCAGGCAAGGTGTCCTTGATTTTGTTGCTTGTGTAGGAAGGACCGAGCTGTCACCCCACTTGACCAAGGCTCCAGCCGTGCCAGACTCGCAGCAGTGTGGGCTGGGGAGGGAGCACGGGGTTTGCTTTCTTTCCCTACCCTGGGGCTCAGGTTTCTCGCCCTCCCCTCCCAGGCCAGAAGCTGCCTGCAGAAGCTGCGGGAGGACATAAGTAGCAAGCTTGACAGGGACCCGGAAGACGCGCTCCACCGACAGGAGACGCAGGTAACGCGGTGGAGTCCGGCACCACAGCCAGGGAGGAGAAGGTGCAGGGTGCAGCCTGTGCAGGGGCCCAGCAGGTGGGCACTGCAGTCACACCTGTCAGCCTACATGCTGCTCCTTAAACGCTACATACAATTGAATTTGTGTAAATTAAATTATCATGTTGTTGGCGAAACCTCTTTATCAACGGACTCTGTAATCAATTGTACAGCAATACAGAAAATTACAAAGCAATCGCCTATAAATCCAGACTTCTCATAAGTTTATTTTATTGAATTTGAGTGATACCTATCTGTGTAAACTAAAATCTTGGTCTGACCCGTGGCCTGTCTGTGGGTATAGCTCTGTCTCTCCTGGGTGGGAGAGTCCTTGAAGTTCGAGGTTCACCATCCTATCCCTTTATCCTGATGCTGGCCCCAGTTGTGGGATTCAAAAAAGACGTCAGTAAATGTTAGACCCAAGAGACTGGAAAGTCTGTCTTGGGATGGATAATCTGGAACCCTGCTTTTCAACTTTTCCAAAATTGTAGAATAGCAGTGTCTTCAGCAGAGCAGAGCTAGGTCTTCTTGACTTGACTTTCTTCCTTCTTTAGATTCTGAGTTGTATCTCCTTCGTTTGCATTTTGGTGTGGGCAGGGTGGTCTTTCTTCAGCTGCCCCCGCCCTGTCCCTCTGAAAGAACAGTGGTCCAATCTGGTGCCAGGAACGTTCCTCTTGGTCCTAGGCATGCTCTAGGTTTGTGGGGTGGACATTCCCTCGTTTATTTTGATTTGGCTGAAAGTAGGACTTTCAGTGCCTGATCTCACACTTGCCTGGTAGGAGGTGCTTTGTCAGGTGGCAGAAGAACTTCGGTGGACACCAGCCCCAAAGCCCAGCCCTTGTCTGTACAAACCAGCAGCCCTAGGATGAATGATCCAGCTCTGGGTCAGAAAGGGTTATAGCGAGAGCGGCTTTCCCTGTGATGGATACTTGTCAGATCTCATCCGCAGCCCTGGAGGCTGGCAAGCAGCTGCTTGTCCTCCTGGGAGGAGGGGGCCCACATATTTCCAATCAGCTGAGAGGTCTGAGCCCGAGTCTCTCTCTTTCTCTCCAGGGGTGGGAGTGTCCCTGTCAGGGCCGTGTTCCACCCTTCCTCTGGTTTTGTTTTTCCGGGGACACTGGGAGTTCTTTCCTTACATCCTCCCTCCTCCCTCCCTCCTCACTCTCATCCTTCTGTGCTTCCTTCCTCCTCCCTTCTGTCTTCTTCCCTCCTTTCCCTTTCCTCTCTCCTCATCACTCTTTTCTTTCCTGCCTCTTTCTCCCTCTTTCCTTTCCACTTCCTGCCCTCCTTCCTTCTCCTGAGATCTGAGGTCTTAGGAGTATGATGTTTCAAAGTTGCTTCAATTGACTTTACAACCGGGCACGATGGCGCACGCCTGCAAACCCAGCAGCTCGGGAGGCTGAGGCAGGAGGATGCAGAGTTCAGAGCCAGCCTCAGCAATGGCGAGGCGCTAAGCAACTCAGTGAGACCTGTCTCTAAATGAAATACAAACTAGGGCTGGGGTGTGGCTCAGTGGTCGAGTGCCCTGAGTTCAATCCCCAGTAGACGCCCCCCCCCAAAAAAAATTGTCTTTAGTAACAGTTTTGTTTTTCTTCAAACAGATGGTGCTAGAAAAGCCAAATGGTTTTAGTCAAGATACCACAAGCCTGTATAGCAGCCCACCTGAGGTCAGTAGCAGAGGGTCCCACCATGTGACTGCCGCTCCCTGGCCCCCTTTTTCATTGCTTTCTCTGTCTCTGTCTTTCTCTCTAAATACAAGAGTAATGTTTGGTGTAAAATTTGAAGTCAAGAGCCAGGCACAGTGGTGCACGCCTGTAATCCCAGCAACTTGGAAAGCTGAGGTAGGAGGCTTGCAAGTTCAAGGCCAGCCTCAGCAACTTTAGTGAGACCCTGTCTCAAAAAAAAAAATTTTTAGCTGGACATAGTGACACATGCCTGTAATCCCAGTGGCTCAGGAGGCTGAGACAGGAGGATGTTCAAAACTAGCCTTTGGGCTGGGGATGTGGCTCAAGCGATAGCGCGCTCGCCTGGCATGCGTGCGGCCCGGGTTCAATCCTCAGCACCACATACAAACAAAGATGTTGTGTCCGCCGAAAAGTAAAAAATAAATATTAAAATTCTCTCTCTCTCTCTCTCTCTTAAAAAAAAAAAAACCAGCCTTAGCAAGGCACTAAGTAACTCAGTGACACTTTTCTCTAAATAAAATACAAAAAAGAAAAAAAAAAATAGTGTCTCAGTGGTTGAGTGCCCCTGAGTTCAATCCCCAGTACTCCCAAAAATAAATAAATAAAATAAAAGTTTTTTAAAGGGCTGGGGATGTAACTCAGTAATAAAAGTTCCCCTGAAATAGAGAAAAAAAAGTGGAAATTCTCTTTCCCTCAACCTACTGCTTAGAAATCTTCTCTGTTGACAGGTTGAAGTGGGTGGATGCTTCTAGCACAGTGCATCTTGTTCTTGGCCATCCATTGGAATGGCCTTGGGGGCCTTAAACGGGATGATGTTGAGGTCCCATCCCTAGACCCTGTGAAGTAATTGTTCTGAGATGTGGCCGGGCATCAAGACCGGCTCCTCAGGGGTTTCTACACTCTAGCCAACCTTGGGAACCAGTCTTCTGGGGTATTTTTCTGTGCACAGACGCTTGTAGTTGGATACTGTGATATATATATATGAAGCATGTCCTATATACATAAATATATGTGTGCTGTTCATACATACTTTTTGCAGATGCAGTCATGGTTTTTCTTTTGTTCAAATAAGTAGTATATTGTAATCATTTCCCCGTGTTAGTTACATATAGATCTACCCCATTTTTTGAATAATTGCATGATATTTCTTTCCATGGCTATACTTTTTAAGAAATTATGTTTGTTATATTGTTTTGTGATTACACAAGACATCCTTATTGTAGGAAGTTGGAAAGTGTAGAAACATAGAAAACTGAAAGAAGGAAAAAAATGTGAATTTTAGTCTTCCCAGAGGGGGAAAAACGTAGTTTAGTGAAAATTTGTCTTTTCTTCAATGAAAAAATATATATTTACAATATTGAGATTGTACCATATGTAGCAATTCTTTCTTTTTTTTTTTTTTAATTTTTTTAGTTGTAGATGGACACAGTATCTTTGTTTTATTTATTTATTTTTGTATCTGGTGCTGAGGATCGAACCCAGTGCCTCACGCATGTGAGGCGAGCACTCAGCCACTGAGCTACAGCCCCAGCCCCCCATATGTAGCATTTCTTTATCTTTTGTTTCTTTGGTTGGATATTGACTTAGGTGCTGGGAATTAAACCCAGGGTCTCCTGCGTGCCAAGCATGGGCTCTACCATAGAGCTACACCCTAGCCCCAAGGGTATTTTTTTGGATTGGATCTTTTGAGCTCTCAAATGCAGAGTTGAATCATATCTGCCTGTTAGTCATGGCACAGTATCATCATAGGTCCCCTCAAAGCCTCTCATTGGTTTTACTTTTTTTTTTTGGTGCTGGGGATTGAACCCAAGGCCTTCTGCTTTTGAGACGAGTACTCTGCCAACCGAGCTATACCCCAGCTTCTGGTTTTACAATTTTTTTCTCTCTTCCCCCGTTCATGCTAATGTATTCAATGTAGGACTTGAAATGTGGCTATAAAATGTTTTCAGTTTATATTATGGACTTGTGTTATTTCTTTTTTCTGTATTTTTTTAACCCAATATGGTTTTTTTTTAAGATTTTATATTACTGTGTTAAATCTAGTTTGTTAGTAAAAAGTTTTTTGGTTTTTTTTTTTGGTCTGGGCACTGGGGATTCAACCCGGGGCACTCTACTACTGAGCTGCAACCCCAGCCTGCTTTATTATTTTTTTAGTTTGAGACAAGGTCTTGCTAAGTTGCTGAGGCTGACCTCAAATTCAGGATCCTCCTGCCTCAGCCTCCCAAATTGCTGGGATTACATGCATGTGCCACTGTGCCTGGCTCTCCCTCCTACATGTAAATAAAGTTTATAACTCAGGGGTTTTTCCCCTTTGTGATATATTGTATGATAAATTAGTATTTTCTTAAAGTTTTTCCATGGCATTAATTAGTCTCATGAGAACAATATTTGAAATAAACACATCATGGATATGTCCCAGCTGCTTAGGTGAGGATATAGGGAATTGACAAAATAACTCATTGATGTCTAGATTTTAAAGGTTGTGATTCTAGCCACTTGCTTTAGACTTGCAGTTTGGATTTTTCTTTGAATCACTATGTTTAGCCCATATATTGCTGGCAAAAGACTGTAATAATGCCATGGTAATGTCTGTCAACTTCTTAATTCTCATAAGCTCAAAGCCCCGCTGAATATTAGCTAGCCTATTTTTGAGCAGCCTGTACGGCAGGGTATGCTAAGGAGTCTTCTTGTTTCACAGATAAAGAAATGGAGGCAGCTGGGCAGGTGGTGCACACTTACGATCCCAGCTACTGGGGAGGCTGAGGCAGGAGGGTTGCAAATTTGAGTTCAGCCTGGGAAATTTAGTGAGCTCAAAAAATAAATAGGGCTGAGGATGTAGCTCAGTGTTAAAGTGCTGCCGGGTTCAACCCCTAGTACCAGAGGAGCAACAACAAAACAACTTTGCTAGCCACAACTCACCCAGCTATTTTAGGGCACACAGTAATCTTTAAATTTTTATTTATTTATTTATTTTTTGGTCCCAGAGATTGAGCCCAGGGGTACTTAACTACTGAGCCACATCTCCAGTCCCCTTTTAAAAAATATTTTATTTAGAGACAAGGTCTCGGGCTGGGGATGTGGCTCAAGCGGTAGCGTGCTCACCTGGCATGCGTGCGGCCCAGGTTCGATCCTCAGCACCACACACAAACAAAGATGTTGTGTCTGCCGAGAACTAAAAAAGAAATAAATATTTTTTTTTTAAAAAATTCTCTCTCTCTCTCTCTCTCTCTCTTTAAAAAAAAAAAAATAGAGACAAGGTCTCTCTGAGTTGTTTAGGGCATTGTTAAATTGCCAAAATTGGCTTTGAATTCAGGAGCCTCCTGCCTCAGCCTCTGCCTCCCAAGCTGCTAGGATGAGAGGTGTGCACAAATGCACCCAGTTTAGTAATTTTTTATACACAAATTAACTGAATGATCTCTTTTTTATTTTTTGGCACCGGAGATTGAACTCAGGGACCCTCGACCACTGACCACATCCCCAGCCCTGTTTTGTATTTTATTTAGAGACAGGGTCTCACTGAGTTGTTTAGTGCCTCCCTGTTGCTGAGGCTGGCTTTGAACTTGCAATCCTCCTGCCTCAGCCTCCCAAGCCATTGGGATCACAGGCGTGCCCACTGCGCCCAGCCTGGACGATCTCTTCACAGGTATGAGTGTGTGTAGGTCCTACTTCCCTCCATCAAACTAGAGCTCTCTGGAGCAGGGACATGTTCTCCTTTGGACTAAACTTCCTCAAGGACAGGAACTATCTCACTCCATTCCAAAGGCCCATCTTCTGCTGACCTCAGCACAGGTCAGCATATTAAAGGTCACCACCCAGGGATGGACAGGTTTATGGCAAAAGCACCCAAGGAACCCCAGAGTCTGATTAGACACAGAAAAAGGTGTCTCATCCAGGTGCTGCTCAGTGTCTCTCCCAGACACGCCCAACGTGGGCTGGTAGTTAGGGCTGAGCTGACATGTAGGGTCTCGCCCCCATCTCTGCTGCGCAGGCACCAGGCTTCAGATACCACCAGCTCCCTGAGCGTCCCACAGAAAAGGTCTCCCGTCTTGCAGGGCAGGGAGCGGCGACACCTTCACCCAGAGGGTAGAGTTCCCGGTTGAAGGACAGAAACAGCTTCCTTGTCAGTCGCTGCCTGACTACTACTTGCTCCTTTGGGCCTTTACTTTTCTTTCTTTCTTTCTTTTTTCATGACACTGAGGATTGAACTCAGAGCTCCACATAGGCTAGGCAGGCACTGAACCACGGAGCTACGTTCCCAGCCCTTTTTTAAAAAATTGAATCTATTTAATTAATTAGGAACTGGGGATTGAACCCAGGGGCATTTTACTATTGAGAAACATCCCCAGTCTTTTTACTTTTTATTTTGAGATGAGGTCTCACTAAGTTGCTGAGGCTGATCTTGAACTTGAGATCATCCCCTGCCTCATCCACTGAGTGCTTGTGCCACTGCCCCCAGGGGCTAGCGAATCCTTTGGGATATGAAGGGAGGATGTTTGCATGTGAATGGCTGGGAACTCTTGGCTGTTGAAGACCGGCTCTCCCCTTGTGTGATGATGATTCTTTTGTGGGTGTGGGGGGGGATCTTCTCTGCACGCGGCTTCACCTTCCCCTCCCTGCTCTGGTTATAGGTGGACACCTCCGCAAACGAGGATGTGGACAGCTGGAGGAGGACCGTGCAGGAGCTGCTTGCCAAGCTGCAGGAGGCTGAGCGGCAGCACCAGTCAGACCGCGCGGCTTTCGAGGTAGGGTTTGGGGTTGGGGGAAAGGTCCTCAAGGAATAGGCAACTGGACGCACATGACAGTGTGGTTCTTGGCACGGACTTCATTATTTTCCCGGCTGGTGCCACCAACTGGAAAGGGGGTGCTTTGAGGCCTGGGGCACTTCCTGTCTGTTTTTACTTCTCTTGGACATTTACAGTGTTCATGGTCTGTACTTCAAAGGTCAGATTTTAGCTGGGTACAGTGGCAAAGCTACTCGGGAGGCTGAGGCAGGAGGGTCACAGGTTCCAGGACAGGCTTTGCCACTTAGTGAGGCCTAGTCTCAAAATAGAAACTACACAGGAACTGCTGGTGACGCCGCTCAGTGGAGAGTACCTGGGCTTAACCCCACACAGCAGCAGCAAACCCAGGATCTGTGAGCAGTGAGAGCCCCTGGTATGGTTAGGGGGATGTGAGGTCTCCCACACTTTTTAGAGAATTCTTTCGAGTACAAAATGAGACACAGAGGGTGGTTTCTAACTACTCCTCGCAACTGTCAGCTGCTATTGTTCGTTTACAAATAAAGTGGTTTTACTTCAAAATGTGTTATGGGAGGACTAGATTCTGCCTGGGTGTTCCAGGAGCTGGTGGAAAGAGAACGCCAGCCTGAACTCTGCTTTTCATAAATTAAAAACAAGAGGGCGGGGCTGGGCTCGGCGGCACAGCATCGCCAGCACGTGTGAGGCCTGCGTGGACCCCCGGCACCTCAGAAAAACAAAAAGTGAAAGAAAGGAATTGCGTCAACTACAACTAAAAATAAATATTTTTAAAAAGAAACAAATAGATAAGGGTACTGTGTCCATCTACAACTAAAAAAAAAGTTTTTTAAAGTTGAGGATAAGGAAAACAAGTACTGAGAATGATAAATTGCCTCAAGGTTAAGATCTTATTTGAGCAAGTTTTTTAACATCCTGTAGAGTCAAAGAGTCAAAAAACAAAGTTTTTTTCAACTTTGTCAAAAAGAGTCATGAAATACACTTCACATGTGGATTGTGTGAGGATTGTGTGATTGTGCAGTGTACACATAGGACACTTTATTATTCTAAAAGGTTTTTAGAAATATAAGCTGTGGTAAGCTGGCACAGCGGTGCACACCTGTGATCCTCGCTATTCAGAAGGCTAAGGTGAGGGATCAAAATAAAACAGAGTGAAAAGGGCTGAGGATGTAGCTCTTGGCAGAGCATTTGCCTAGCATGCATGGGGCGCTGGGTTCAATTCTAAGTGTGTACATATGAATACATGTGTACATATATTTAACACGTTTTCTCTCTTGGTGGTCGGTTTCAGCTTTTTCTATGGTAAGTGATTTGGTTTAGGGTAATGCTAAGAGTCGTTTGTGGTTCAGAACACTGCAGCCAAGGCTGGGATACACCTCTTGCCCAGCATGCCAGAGGCCCTGGTTCAATCCCCAGTACTGAAAATAAAATAAAATAAAGGCAGCCATGTGGTGAAGGCGTTTCAGCTTCCACAATCTGAGTGATTTGGTTGTTATGATCAGTTTGGTGACCTGCTTTTACCTACCTTTCCTGGGAAAAACAAAGCGGAGGAAGGAGAGGTTGAGGCTGCAGCTCTGACCAGATTGTGGATTTTGGAACGAAGCCTCTGCACTGAGAGGCCCCATGAACTTGTGGAAATTCCAGAAACACAGTATGGGTTTTGAACCTGCAGGCAGGGTCTGCTGCTCCTGAGCAAAAGTCCCAGAATCTGAGCCTAAAGCCGCAAGGCCCCTGCCAGCTGCTGCCAGCTGCTCTCAGATTTAGAAGAGGCTTGTTTTTTTCTTTTCTTTTCTTTAGTAGTACTAGAATTGAACCAGGGGAGTCACATACCCAGTCCTTCTGACTTTTTAGAGACGGGTCTCTCCAGTGTCCATGACTGGCCTCAGACTTGTGACCCTCCTGCCTCAGCCTCCTGAGCTGCTAGGCTTACAGCCTGCACGCACCGCGCCTGGCTAGGAGGGACTCTTACTCTTCAGCCCCATGGTGCACGGTACCCACTTGTAATGGGAGGCGCTTCTGGGGTTGTCCCACTGTGGGGCTAGTTGGAACACTCACAACATCACACAGGTCCTGGCTGGAGCTACTGGACACATACAGAAGGAAGTCCGTAGTCTTTATGTTTTAGATACTTCCATGATTCTGTGGTGGGGGTTTGCGGTTGGGACCAGACCCTGTAAACACTTACCTGGGCATATGCCACGCTGGGTGCCGTTTTCCTTTTTTTCATTCTCTTTTTGTGCTGCACTGGAGATAAACCCAGGGCCACTCTGCCACTCTGCTAAATACCCTGGGGACGTTTTGCCTTTGTTATTGTTATTTTCTTTTTGAGACAGGGTCTCACTAAATTGCCGAGGCTGGCCTCAAACTTGTGATCCTCTTGCCTCAGCCTCCTGAGTTCCTGGGGTTACAGGTGTGTGCCACTGTGCCAGTACCTGACTGGGTGTAATTTTTATTACTGACATGAAAGGCGTTTGTGTTTAAGTGCCTGCCTATGGAGCCAACCTGTTTCAGGCTCACATGGATTACTTGAAGGCCTTTCTCAACTTTCCTAGTGAGTTGGCCTCTTGGTCTACACTTACCATAAAAATAAACAGCCATTAAACATGGGTTTCCTTGCTGTACGCAGTGGTGTGTGCCTGTAATCCCAGTAGCTTGGGAGGCTGAGGCAGGAGGATCACAAATTCAAAGCCTTGGCACTTAGTGAGGCCCTCAGCAATTTAGTAGACCCTGTCTCAAAGTAAAAAATAAAAGGGCTGGGGATGTGGCTTAGTGGCTAAGCACCCTGTTTCAATCCCTGGTACCAAAAAACAACAGAAAAACATGGGTTTCTTGTTCTGCTGGCTTCTCACTGCGAGGACAGGTTTACAGTGAACTTGCTGTGCACAGGACTGGGGTGTAGTGTGGGCACATCCTCTCACACCTTCCTGTGCCCTACTTTCTCCTCGCTGAGCCGGACTCTGGGAGGAGCCGGACAATCTGGCTGCTGTTTTCTCAGGGTATGGCTAGGCCTTCTAGAGGTCACCTCCATTCTTCTTTACCAAATGATGAGGACTCAGTTGAAGTGGATGTGGGTACCTGGGTTTTAGGATCGCTCCTGTTGGTCCCTAGCTGGGCAATCTTGAATAGGGCCGTTGATCTTCACTTGTGAAAAGGGCAGAATGGGATTAATGGAACATCATTCTACTCCCAACCTACGGAGCCGTCTGCAGGTGCAGGGTACCTGTGCGGCTCGAGGCCTGTGCCGGCACGGAGCCTGTAGGGCTCTCGGGAGCACACAGGAGAGTGCGCAGAGTCTGCTCGGTGCGTGGGACAACAGCGTGTCCTGTGGGCTTCTTCCAAACGGATGTCTAAGGGAGAGTTCAGAGATCAGTAGGAGTTGGTGAGATGCAGGTGGAGAACTTTCTTCCTCATTCTAACAGTCTAAAATCCTGCTCTGTCCTTTCCATACTGGCACTAGCCCTTCTAAATGCCGTGGTGGCCCTAGTTCCTAGGCTCTGAAATGTTGCTTGCCATGGGAATGAGGAAGAGTTGGGGAGAAAAGAAGGACACGGGCATATCCTTACGTGGATTATTTGCTTTTGAATTAGTAGGAAAGCCACAACATTGGAGCAAGCGCGACTAGCATTGGAGGATTGGTGGGGATGTTAAAGTCAGCCATCTCAAAAGTGTCACTTTATTTATTTAGGTACTGGGGATTGAACCTAGTGACTTTACCATGAGGCACATCCCCATACCTTTTTAGTTTTTATTTTGATACAGGGTCTTATTAAGTTGCTTAGGGCTTTGGTAAGTTGCTGAGGCTGGCCTCAAACTTGTGATCCTCCTGCCTCAGCCTCTCAAGTTGCTGGGATTACAGGTGTGTGCCACTGTGCTCAGCTTTTTTTTTTTTTTTTTAATATTTATTTTTTAGTTGTAGTTGGACATAATACCTTTGTTTTATTTATTTATTTTTATGTGGTGCTGAGGATCGAACCTAGGGCCTTGCACGCACTAGGCGAGTGCTCTACCACTGAGCCACAACCCCAGCCCCCTTTTTTTTAAGTTTTTTTTTTTTTTGGTAATTTTATTTCTTCATTTTGTTTTATTCTATTTTTATGTTTATTTAATTTTATTTTGTAATACTGGGGCTCGAATCCAGGGGCACTTTACCACTGGGCTACATCCCCAGCTTTATTTATTTTAAGACAGGTCTCTCTAAGTTGCCTTAATTTGTGATCCTCCTGCCTCGGCCTCCTGAGTATAAGTCCCTGCACCACTACACCCAGCCAAGAGTCACATTAAGTGGCACTCAGTGAACTGTGCTAGTGAGTCTTAGAGAGGGGTCAGTCCCTGAAGGTCCTCCAGGGGGTCCTGAGCAGGTTGGGGGGGGCAGTGCACTCCCCATCGCTGTCTGTCTCCCACCACAGCTCCAGGGCCCCCGCCCCGCCCAGGTTCCTGGGTTCGTTTCTGGTGCTTTCATTTGTTTGCCCCCCCCCCCCCCCCCCCCCACTGAACACATGCCCTTCCTGTGTCAGGTCACACTCAGCCGGTACCAGCGAGAAGCAGAGCAGAGCAATGTGGCCCTTCAGAGAGAGGAGGACAGAGTGGAGCAGAAAGAAGCAGAAATCGGGGAGCTGCAGAGGCGCCTGCTGGGCATGGAGACGGTAATGGCTGGGTCTTGTTCTCAGGGCCTGGCCTGTGGGCTGGAGGGGCCAAGGATCGGCCAAGATGGCCGCTGAGCTCTCCTTTTCCCAAGCAGCTCCAAAAAAGCACATTTCACAGCTCAGACAGTCCCTTGAATACCCTTTGGCCTTTAAGGAATCGGACGGTCTTTTTCCCTGTGGTGTTGGAGATGGAAGCAGGGCCTCGTGCGTGTTGGGCCACGTAGCCCAGGAAGGTTGTTCGTCACCTCCCTTCAGTTCCCGTCACTCGAGCTGAACCCATTTACACTTTAGCTGGGTTCACACAGAGCCCCTTACTAGATGGGCATCTGCTAGGTGCTCCTTTTGGGCTTTTGGAGACTGTTCCTTAGCGGTCACTTGATCTGGTTCTGCAGAGACTGGCCACCAGGGCTGGCCGATGGGCTTGTCTAGTGTCGGGCCAGGTCCTTCCTCCGGGCGGCTGGGTGAGGCTGGGAAGTTTCTGTGTGCTGAGGGTGGGAAGGGTTCTCCCTGCCTGGGGAGGGCACCCATCAAACCAGCTTGGCCTGCTGCTCTCTGGCAGCTGGCCCAGGACCAGCAGGGGCTGAGTCCCAACCTTGGTGCCTGCTTACCCGGACCAGAGACTGTGCCATCTGCCCATGCTGGGTGTTCTTTCTTTGGCCCCCCAGGAGCATCAGGCCTTACTGGCCAAAGTCAGAGAAGGGGAGGTGGCCCTAGAGGAACTTCAGAGCAAGAACGCTGACTGCCAAGCAGAACAAGAAAAGTAAGAGCTGTTGTCCATGTGAAGTTGGGGAGCACAGGAGGGTGGGCCATGAGCCCGCAGCTCCCAGGGTGGCCAGGTCTGGGGAGGAAGCTGGTGCTGACGTCCGATCGTCCCTCCCTGACTCACAGTGTGCTTGCTCAGGTGGAGCCCCACCCCGGGAGATGCTATTTGGAAGGCTGCTGTCTGCTGGGATTTCATTTTCCATGGGGCAATCAATAACTTCAAAATTTTTTTAAGAAGAAAGGCTTTTCATCTAGATATCTATCTATGTAGATACCTGTCTGTTTTTGCAGTGCTGGGGATTGAACCCAGGGCCTGGTGCATGATAGGCAAGTGTTTTACCACTGAGCTGTGCCCACAGCCCAGTTGTTACAATTTTATAGCTTAGGTCGAGGAAGAGCTGGAAAAGCCCTGCTGTCATAGCCTCTCATTCCAGAGGTGATCCCACTGGATGTACCACTCCATGGTGTCCAACCCCCAAAGCAGAATCTGACTACCGCTCTCTGAGGGCCGAGTGACTTCCTTCTCAGCCATGCTGATGAGAGACAGGGTGAGCAGCTTCACGAGGATTTTCTGTTCCTGGAAGCAATTTAGGTAGAACCTGAGACCCACCTGTCCACTGGGGCGTGGAGGGAGTCACGGAGGTCTTTTTGTTGTTGTTGTTAAGTATGAGAGCGGAATGCATTCCAGTTCTCATTGCACACACAGAGCACAGTTTTCCGTATCTCTGGTTGTACACAAAGTCTATTCACACCAATTCGTGTCTTCATACAGGTACTGAGGGTAATGATGTCTGTCTCATTCCACCAACGGAGGTCTTTTTCACCTCCAAGGTTAGAGGGTTTTGCAAATTCCCTCTGATCAGAGGAGAAAAGAAGCTTCAGAGCAATGAAAGGGAAAAGAATATGCCTTCCAAATCTTCAGGAATTTGGAAATTATTTATGCCATTGACAATAAATAAGATCTCAAATAATAAATAAGATTTAACATCAGCATATTGGGTATGATCTTCATTGTATAAGATGGACAGTTTTGTAGTTGAGCAGACATTACCTAGAGGGCCTTGTGAGGGAGTTCAGGGTTAACAGGCACAGTCAGAACCGCTCAGCCTTAAGGAGGCCTTTTCTCTTCCTCTTTTTTAAAAAAATTTTTTAGTTGTCGATGGACCTTTATTTTATTTATTTATTTTTATGTGGTGCTGAGGATGGAACCCAGTGCCTCACACATGCCAGGCAAGTGCACTACCTCTGAGCCCCAGCCCAGCCTCCCTTTTCTCTTCTTTTGGACAACTTAGGTTTGTCCTTCCTGGAAGGAAACTGTAGGCGTCTTATTGTAGCCTCCTTTCTCATTTGACTTTATATCAGAATGACTTTTAAATTATAATTGGCCCTCTGTATCCACATGTGCAGATTCAACCAACTGGAGATTGAAAATGTTCAAGGGGAGGGGCTGGGCTGAGGCTCAGTGGCGGAGCCCTTGCCTAGCATGCCTGAGACACCAGTTTTGATCCCCGGCCCCACATAAAAATAAAAACAAATGAAATAAAGATACTGTGTTCATCTACAACTAAAAAAATAATAAAAAAACTAAAGTAGAAAAAAAATGTTCAGAGGGATAAAAATTGCATCTGTACTAAATCTGTGCAAACTTTTTTCTAGTCATTGTTACCAAAACAGTACAGCATAACAACCAATTATCTAACATTTACATATGTTGTTATAAGTGATCTAGAGATGATTTATAGTATTCAGAAGAATATGCAGAGGTTATGTAGATACCTCATTTGATCTAAGGAACTTGAGTATTCCTGGGCTTCCCGGAACCAATCCTCTTGGATACTGGGGAATGACTGTATTCAGTACTCCTTCTTTCTTTGTGTTTGAGGCATTCATAGAGAGACCAAGAGAGGGGAGGAATAAGAAACAAAAAAGACTGATTATCCCAAATCTAGGCTTGGAAATAGTAATCAATAAATAGCTATGCATCTTTTTTTTTTTTTTTGGTACTGGAAATTGATTGAACCCAGGGGTGCTCTTCCACAAGCTATATCCCAGTATTTTTTTTAAATTTTTTTATTTGGGACAGAGTCTTGCTGTTATTGAGGCTAGCTTTGAACTTGCGATTCTCCTGCGTGAGCCTGTTTAATCATGGGATTACAGGTGATAGCCATGCATTCTAAATGCTGGTTTTCTAAATAAAAGGAGACTGAGAAATAGGGCATTGCAGAGCTGAGGGTGGAGATTAGAAGTTTAGGAAGGATGTGGGATGGCTCAGGTTGTATCTACCCCACCCAACCCTGAGTACTGCCCACTATCTAGCAGCATGTGCTTGTCAGTTTTTTCAAGCAGAACTGGGAGTAACTGGTAAGAGCAGCTCTTTAGGGATCCAAACCTGACTAAAGGAAAACTGTTTCTCTTCTCATGACACTTCTGACTGCAAATGTGTAGGTTTGCACACCAGCAATTCTCCACTTCTCTGTCGACATAAACTGAGTACCCTACGAACTTAATTCAACCTGAGACTGACTGCCCAGAGTCAGTGTAGACCTCATTAGCCTACAAAAGACACTCTAATCATTCCTGGAGATCCTAAGCGTCTTTTCAGGAACTAGAAACAAAAACCAAATATTAAAACACACCTCTACTATCATTCCTCTAGTTAGGAAATTAGAAGAGTTTAGGAATTCTCTGTCAAGAACTGGGGCCAGGGTCAGGGTTATGGCTCAGCAGTAGAGTGCTCGCCTAACACACGCAAGGCCCTGGGTTCAAGCCTCAGCACCACATGAAAATAAGTAAATAAAATAAAGGTATAAAAATTAAAAAAAATATAAAGAACTGGGGACAAGGACCAAATATATATTTCTTATTAGGGAACTTGGCTCAGTTTCCTTAGAATGCAAAGGAAGCAACAGTGGTTTAGGAATCAGGAGATTTAGAATAGAGGCTTTAAGTATCCTTAAATCCTGCCAATCCCTAAGGAGCAAATGCCAAATGCCTTCTTTGATATAAGGGGGGGCAACTCAAAAAAGAGCAGGGAGGAAGAGCATGAGAAGAAGATTACCACTAAATAGGGACGAGAGGTGGGAGGGAATGGGAAAGAGAAGGGGAATGGCACGGAAGATGGAAGGAGACCCTCATTGTTGTGCAAAATTACATATAAGATGGTGTGAGGGGGAAGAAAAAAAAAGAGAGAAAAGTGTCACAGTAGATTGGGTAGAGAGAGGTGATGGGAGGGGAGGGGAGGGGAGGGGGGATAGGAAAGGCAGCGGGATACAACAGACACTAGTATGGCTGTATGTATAAACGTGGCTGTATAACCAATGTGATCCTGCAATCTGTACACATGGAAAAATAAGAATTCACACCCCATTTGAATCAAATATATGATATGTCAAGATCATTGTAATGTTTTGAGCAGCTAATAAAAAAATTTAAAAGAAAAGTATCCTTAAATCCTGTCTCCCTCCTGATACAAAATTCCTGCCAGTTTCATGGCACTGAATATAGAAATTCCAGTTCTAGATGGGCACAGTGGTATACAACTATGATCTCAGTGGTTCAGGAAGCTGAGGCAGAAGGATTGTGAGTTTGAGACCAGACTCAGCAACTTAATGAGAGCCTGTCTCAAAATAAAATAAGAAGGGCTTGGGGTGAAATTCAGTGTTAAAGCACCTCTGGGTCAAACCCCAGGACGCATAAAGAAAAAGAAATCCCAGTTCGTATGTAAAGCTTCCCAGTAATGAGGGACTTATTACACGTCAGGCAGTTCACTCCGTGACAGCTTCTATACTGAGAATTTTTCCTGTATTAATATAAAAACCACCTCCCAGGAACGTCTGTCTACTTGTCGGGTCTAATTTTACCCTCTAGAGCTATTCAGAATGACTTATCCCTTCTAGCCTGTCTGAACTACACTTTCCTTATTTGAACTAGATGATCTGATTGTGCTTCTAATGTGATGTTCTAAGGTGTCTAATCACCTATCCTTTAGGGCAAACTGCTGGGGAAATCAGAGGGAATCACACTTGGTGGGAACCTCCCAAGTTCAAGTTCAGTCTCCTCTTCTGTCACTGGCATCTTTTCCCCCTTGCCTCAGGCTTCTGGTCTTTATTCCCAGGGTTGCCACCCTGGAAAAGGAAGTGGCTGGGCTGCGGGAGAAGATCCACCACTTGGACGACATGCTCAAGAGCCAGCAGCGGAAAGTCCGGCAAATGATTGAGCAGGTGAGCAGAGCTAGACCTCAACCTGCCCTGGGTTTTCCCTAAGTCTGTGCTTTTAGTTATTTATTCTCCTCGGTAGCTTGGCTCAGATTCATGTATTTCTCATAAAAAATTTATATCTTCCAATTACTAGGGTTTGAGTTGTTGGGATTTACTTTCCTTCTACTTGTTTTGGCCATTTGGATATTGCTATCCAATGGGAAAGGAAGGAAAAGGTCTTTCTCCCTTATCCTTTGAAGAGTGCTGGAAAATGAGTAATTGAGCCATAATAAACCCAGTTGTCTCTGTGCAGATCATCAGCCTTTGTCCCTTACTGTGCTGAGCTTTAGGGTAGCACCTCCAGATGTGCCAGTTTGTAGAACTGTTTTGAGAGAATTTAAGAATTGAGCTGGGTGCTGGTGGCACACACGTATAATCCCAGCCACTTGGGAAGCTGAGGAAGGAGGATTAGAAGTTCAAGTCCAGCCTGGGAAACTCAGTGAGACCCTGTCTCAAAATAAAAATATAAAGGTGCTAGGGATGTAGCTCGGTGGTAAGCCATCCTTGGGTTTAATCCCCAGTACTAAAACACACACACACACACACACACACCCCTAGTCGGGAGGTCCTGCTTCCTTCATGTCAGTGTCACTTCTTTTGTTCTGCTGTCTCCCTGTCTAGAACAGGTATTGGGTATTGTTATGCAGTTAAGCACTCAATTTTTTTTCCTTTTTTTTTTTTTTTTTGGGGATACTGGAGTTTGAACCAGGGTCTTGTACATGCTAGGCAAGTACCCTACTACTGGCCTATATCCCCACCCCTTTTTATTTTTTAATTTTTTCATGAAATATATTTTTTAGTTGTTGATGGACCTTTATTTATTTATATGCAGTGCTGAGAATCCAACCCAGTGTCTCACACATGCTAGGCAAGTGCTTTACCACTGAGCCACGACCCACCCCCTAATTTTTTCATTTTGAGACGGATCTTGCAGTTGCCCAGGCCAGCCTTGAACTTGTAATCCTCTTGCCTCAGCCTCCCAAGTATCTGGGATTAAGGTATACACCACAACCTTCCTAATAAATGTTTCTCAAATGAATAAATAATTTGTATTTTCCAGAGCCAAATGGAATAGAGTATATATTAATGTATTTTGGATTATCAGAGTGATGTGCCCCTCATACTTCCCAAGTCACTCAAGAGTTGCACAGGGCTGGGGTTGTGGCTTGGGCTGGGGCTGTGGCTCAGCGGTAGAGTGCTCGCCTAGCATGTGCGAGGCCCTGGGTTCGATCCTCAGCATCACATAAAAATAAGTAAATAAAATCAAAGTATTATGTCCAACTATAACTAAAAAATAAATATTAAAAAAAGAAGAGTTGCACAGCCCTCCTTTCATCTCTGCTGGCGTCCCCAGTAGATGGGGTGCAGTTTGGTGTAATGAGTCATTGCAAAAGGAGCTCCAGTGTCTCCTACATCTTTGCAGCTCCAGAATTCAAAAGCTGTGATCCAGTCTAAGGATGCCACTATCCAGGAACTCCAGGAGAAGGTCGCCTATCTGGAGGCAGAGGTCTGTGTACTGGGCAGCTCCAGCTGCAAACAGGGCTCTTGACGGAGGGAGCAGTGATGGGAGGGGTCTTGGTCCTGTCTAGCTGCTACTTAGCAGAGAGCCATATCCGTGATGGTTGCTTGGGGTCATTGTTTGAAAACCTTTAGGGACTTGCTGGCAATGGTAAGACCAGCCCCTGCCCTCAAGGAACATAATATTATGGTGCAAGTCACCTGCCAGGGAAACCTCTGACTGTCTGGACTTCAGAGGTCTGGCAGTGGAGCCGGGCTTTGAAGGAGGAGGAGGCCTTCCATAGTTGGAGTCTTCTCATGGCTGAGGTCATGAGGTCAGTTGGCTAAGGGGCTGTCTTCCTAGTCTGACTTCTGCTTTGCTACAGAGCCCTTCCTGTCCGCTGACCACCTGAAGATCATTTTGCATCCACTGTGTAATGATTCTTGTAGTGGGGGAGACAAATGGAGACAGGTTGTATCGTTAGTGAGTTTGTAATCTATAGAGTTAGAGACAAAAATACATTAAAAAAAAAAAAGAATACTTAGTAGGATAGTATAGAGATAGAGACCCATGAAATCGCAACTGGCGTCAAGAAGCTACACACAGGAAATATGTACAGAGAAGATACGGGAATGATTGCACAGTTACTGAGAAACAGGTGTTAGAGGAAGAGAGCCATCTACAGTGACAGGAATGAGGGGAGAAAGGAGGTGGGGTGCATGGTAGGGGTGCGGCAAGAGCAGCGGAGACATAGGTAGAGAGACCAGAAGGAGCTAGCTAACTGGGACACACGGCAAGCCAGAGAAGGGCCACTGTGACCCCAGAGCCTGTGTTGCAGAATTTAGAGATGCACGACCGGATGGAACACCTGATAGAGAAGCAGATCAGCCACGGCAACTTCAGCACCCAGACCCGGGCCAAGACCGAGAACCTGGGCAGGTGAGCGCCTATGTGGGCCCAGGTCGGGAGGGGGAATTAAGGGTCAGGCCTGTGCAAAACCTTTGGTACTAAGGCAAGGACAAGGCTCTTGAAATTGAACTTTGCTCTCTCAGTCTCTGATCTGACCCATTTTCTAGCCTATTTAGAATAAAGCCCGATATCAGGAAGCCAGGAAGGTCCATGGGTGGATTCTAGAGGTGAATGAGCCTCCTGAGATTGCATGCAAAGTTTATTAGTAATATTTGCATATTATAAATATGTATGTTAATATTGGTATATTGTAAGAGAGGGTCTTTATAGAGATTCACAAAAGGGCCCAAAGTACTGAAAAAAATCAAGAATCATGGGTATATCCATTTCTTGGATTTTTTTTAAATACTTATTTTTTAGTTTAAAGTGGATGCAATATCTTTATTTTATATTTATGTGGTGCTGAGGATCGAACTCAGTGCCTCGTGCATGCCAGGCGAGCACTCCACCACTAAGCCACAACCCCAGCCCATTTCTCAGATGTTTAACTGTCTTTATCTTTTGGGGGGGTGGGAAATATTGGGGATTGAACCCAGGGGTGCTCTACCACTGAGCTATATCCCCAGCCCTAGTTTGTATTTTATTTAGAGACAGGGTCTCACTGAGTTGTTTAGCGCCTCACTTTTGCTGAGGCTGGCTTTGAACTCACAACCCTCCTGCATCAGCCTCCCGAGCTGCTGGATGACAGGCATGCACCACTGTGCTGGGTTTTTTGTTTGTTTTTTAATTTTGAGACAGGATCTTCCTAAGTTGCTGAGGCTAACCTCAAACTTGGGGTTCTCCTACCTCAGCTTTCTGAGTCCTTGAGATTATAGGTATTTGCCACCACACCTGGCTGCCCCTGTCTTTTCATCCCCATGTCACCAGACACATGTATCATGCCCTAAATCTTCTCTTAGATGTTTCTAAAACTTACTGTTTCAAAGCACTTGAAACTCTGGAGATCTCCAGCGCTGAAGTGCAAGATTCCAGAGGCAGATGTGGGTGGGAGGCCATGTGCGGGGAGGGCAGCAATATGCACTCATTGTCTCCAACTTTGTTTTCAGTGTTAGGATATCCAAGCCCCCCAGCCCTAAGCCCATGCCTCTGATCCGGGTGGTGGAAACCTGAGCTCCAGGAGATGGATGTTGCCACTGCTGCCACCTGTCACCTGCGGAGAAGCCCACCTTCCCTGTAGGCTGTTAACATTGACTTTGACTTCATTCATGACTGTTTCCTGGCTACACCCAGGACGTGGGGCGTGTGTGCTTCACTGTCCCCAAGCTCTTGTCCTCTGTTTGCTGGGCAGACGGAGCATGAGCACCTCCTCTGGGCCCTGCGGCCCCTTGGAAGACTTATCTTGCTAGCAGGAGCTAGGGCGATATCCTTATTCCTCTAGTCATTATTTTCTCTGTAGCCGAGCCTCTCTCTGTATACTGGAGTCCAGCAGCACCAGAAGCCAGGCCCTCATCGGTTCGGGATGAGGTATAAGATTTGTCTCAACACTAAAAGTTGGAGGCCCAGATGTCCAGAGTGACTGGGGCATGTCCTGGAGGAATGAAGTTCCTCTGCAAACAGCTCAGTTCTTAGCAACTAACTGTTTGTTTTCTCCTTGCTCCACCCTCAGCCCATGTGGACTTGGGCGTCCTTCAGACAGTTGGGCCACCTGCTGAGGCCTGGTTAGTCAGAGAACCTAACTTTGACTGGACAGCCTTGTTTTTCTGGGGACAAGGGAGTAGCTAAAGCAACAGGACTCCGTAGGACTGCGGGAAGTTATTTTCGGCTTCTCTGTTGTGCAAGCGCCTGGGCTCTCTCGGGTCTTCCCCCGAGGCACACTGCAGGGCACGCCTCAGCCTCTCTGACCGGCGCCTCATAGCTGTGTTTTCACTGAATTATGTCAGTCCCAGCAAAACCCTCGTTGTATTTATTTGCTAAGTTATTGGTGTTTCTGGTTACATCTCATCATTGATTTAATACCAAAGTCCTGTGGCCTTCTCTTTGGGGTGTTTGAATTTACTTGAAACTTGAAAGAATGTTCCCCTCGGCCTTGCTGAGTTCAGAATGGGTGGTGATGGATCTTACTTGCCTTCTGCCACCTGCTTCTTCTCCCTTTTTCCTCCAAGCTTGGTCTGTACTCAGGAAGGCAGGTGCACTTTCCCTGAGGCTCGGGGTCGGCTGTGTTGCTTGGAGGAACAGGGGGATCAGGACTCTTTCAGAGCAGGGGTGGGTTCTCCCCCGGCCCCTCTGAAGGGCTCTGCATTATAATTGTCTTTAAGCCTGGTTCTGAATGACCCTATAGCTCGTCGTGTTTCCTTTAGGACTTTCCTGCAGCCCTAAGAAGTATATAATCATAATAAGAGTGTGATGCTTTAGGAAACAGAACTTAAAATAAATATGGATTAAGTCTTAGGTTCTACTTGGCTCACAATCAGATCAGGACTGGGTTCGTGTTCTGGCTTTGTTAGTGGTGTCTGGGACTCCAGGCAGTCCCCTCATCTGTGAGATGACAGTGCTGGGCCAGGTGATCTCCATGTCCCTCCAGTTCTCATATTTTTTCCCCTGTGGCATATGCTTTGTATGGTGAGCTTAATAAATTATGTTAATATGTCTCTTTAACCTCTTGGTCTGGTTTCCTTTTTACTTTGGGGGGAAGATGAAAGAGCGTAATTTAGGGCCTGGGGATGTAGCCTAACAGCAGAGTGCCCAATAGCACGCATGAGGCCCTGGGCTCAATCCCCAGTATCGGGGGGACTCAAGCATCATTTTAGTGCCTCTTAAAGATGGGCGCCTGTTGTTCACATCTGAGAGGCGTGGTCCAAATGTCCCAGCACTGTGGTATGAGGACGCTGTGGCCACCAGAGGAGTTAGAAGCAGACCAACTCTGCAGTTGAGTCCCCATCACAGAAGGTGGCCCCTACCTTTAGTTTTGACCCTGTCTTAGGCAGAAGCCTGTGGATTCCTAAGCTTGGCCACTCTGTGTCCTCCTCGTTTGGAAAAGAGCTGGTTGGAGGTAGAGGTGTTGAGATGACATAGAGATATGCCAGTCAGCCCTGGAGGGAAATGAGCAATTCCACGTCCTTGGCAGAAAGGAAAAACACCCCACAGAAATGCTGACTGCAGCTGTTCAAGGGTTGAGTTTCTGACTGTCTCTGGGCATCATCCAATTAGTCCAGTGTTTTTTTGTTTTTTTCTTTCTGCCAAAAAGGCAGTCAACAGCAGGGCTAATTGGGGACATAGCTGAATTTACATGACCCCTCTCTGGGCCAAAGAAACCGGAAACACCAATCCCCATTTCCTGCCCTATTTCATTCTAGTCCCCTCTAATCCTTCGGTGGAGAGTGTGACTTTTCCTCCTATTACTTTTCCTCCCCTTCTGCTTCCCAGCTAATTCTCACTACAGGTTTCACAAAGCACCAGAAACCCTCCACGGACCTGGATCTGTGTTCTGACAGCTGGGTCTCTTCTTTCCCCGGCAGTCTTGTTTGGCATGGGTCTATCTAGACTGTGCTTGTCTCAGAATACTAACAGGGTGGAAGCAGGGAGGGGTTGGCCACGGTGCCAAGAAGACTGGCCCGGCTGGAGGAGTGGGAGGGGAGCGAGTGTGCTGCCCTGCAGGAAAGGAGGCTCTCCAAGGGGCCTCCTGGGCTTGGTGGGAGGGGCGGGGATTGGGGTTAGAGACGGTAAAATGGTCTGGAGCCTGGAACTAGTGCTCTAAGAGAGTCCTGGGACAGAAAAGTACCTCTGGTGTTTGTTTCCCAGAGTTTAGACACCACTGTCAAAAGGAAGGGGGGCTTGCCGAGGGGATGAGGAGGGTTTGTGGGAGAGGAAGCAGCCATGGAAAGCTAGTTGATACGTTGGTGATCTTTTCAGTTAAAGGTGGAGGTGGGTGGGCGGCTCAGGAGAAGGTGCTCAGGGCCTGAGAGAGTGGTGAGTAGGCTGCTCCTGGCTGCTGAGGCCCGTTTATTGCCTGTGTTTTGTCATTTTTTAAAGCCAGTTCCTCTGTGCTGCTTCCAGATTTTGTCGAGGCAGGATCGAGTCTTCCTCTCTGGGACCTTTGCCATGAGGGCCTGTTTCTCAGAGCTGGGTTTTAAGAGCTGCCCAGACTTGTAGCTGCCGTCAGCAGCCTCCGGTGAACCTGGCCAGCAGGCCCCACCTGGGGACGGCAGCGTGCGGGAGCTCTCCTGGCCTCCCTAGAGCTGCCCTGCCTTCCACTTCACACCTTCCCTTCCCTGAACAGGAAAGAGCCTGACAGGGATGTGGCATTTCAACCAAGTGGCGCTCTGCAACTCGAAAGTACCGTTTCTAAGGCCAAAAACGGATTGGCTTACTTTTAGCTCTATTTGAAAGCACCTTTCACTGTGAAATGCCCCACTAAGAAGGGTTCCCACTTTGGAAAGATGCTCTGACATGGAACAGATTAAAGCAAATTCAGTTTGACCGAGGGAAGTGATGTCTTTCAGGCTGGAAAAGCAGCTTGCTTCCCTCTCTAGCCAATTATTCACTACGTGGGTCTTTTTCTGTGAGGCCTCTAATAATTCTCTGGGCTCCCTCATGCCTCAGAGCCAAGCTGCTGAGCTTGGGCCCGAGCTTGTTCAGGCTCTGACCCAACTGCAGATGTTAGCCGAGGGCCCTTGGCCTCTTTTCCGTGCTTTGATTTAGAACTCTAGCTTTGCAGGGAGTAATTGTTTCCTATCTGTCTTGTCCCAGTTCTAAGCACCGTGGCCTTGAAACTCAAAATTTGGAGACCTAAATATTCTCTCGCCCCTCTCTTCCAGGGAAAATCCTCATTCAGGCTAAGGATAAGAGATGCTTCTTAAAGGGCAGTAATTTCTAGATTAGCATGCTGTGTGTGCTGGCACTGAGACCTACTTATAGTCTAAAATGTGTGTGACCTTTCTGCCGGAATCTTTCTTCCCCTGGATCCCTCTGGAATGTGGGATTGAGGGTAGGTGGTGACGGGATAGTTAATTTCACGAGAGAGTGTTGGTGGCCACGTCTTAGACCACAGGATCTGACAGTTGAGGGAAAGGAAATCATTAATCCTCATGACTTGATCTATCAATGCAATGCTGATGACTCAACCCTGCTCTGTCCGACCTCTCACGGGGTTCCCAGGTCCAGACTCGTCTAGGTCTGTGGGAGGTTTGCGATCTTTCTGTGTCTTTCAGTATGTGTTTGTCTTTTAACTGACTTGCTATGTAAAATAACATTTCTTACTTGGTAAAAAAAATTTGAAGAACACTGGTGTATAAAACAGACTCTCTCCTAGCCTATCTTGTCATCTCAGGTCAAGAGGTCCAAAATCGATTCCCTCCCAAACTGTTTAACCTTTTCAATCTCTTCATACTTACTCTTGGAAAAATCATAAACCTTCAGTGATTCCAACTAGATCTTTCTTTTCTTTTCTTTCTCCAGGAATTGAACCCAGTTTACCACTGAGCTACATCCTCAGCCCTTTTATTTTTAAGACAGGGTCTTGTAGGTTGCTGAGGCTGCAATCCTCCTGTCTCAGCCTCCCGAGTTGCTGAAATTACAGACATGCATCACTGCACCTAGTCAGATTAGATATTTTCAAGTCACCTTTACTTTTCTTTCCATGCCTATATCCAGCTATATCCAGTTTGTCAACAAGCTCTAATGTCTCCTCCTTCTAGATATCTCTCCCATGGGCCCCTTCTCATGGTCAGAGCCCAAGTAAGTCATCTCTTTAAGCCTGGATTACCCCGAAAGCCAGTCCTTGCTGTCCCTCACCTCTAGTCTTCTACCTAAATCCACCCTCTTACCACTGACATTTGAATCTTTTCCAAATGCTATTTTCATTCCATCAGTTGGGGCAATTGATCAAGGACAAAAGGAAAAACTTGACAGTAGTTTCTAGTGATGAAAGTCTGTCTCTTAAGAGGAGGAACAGTTGTACTCCCTCTAGCTACACAGGGCAACATCCAGAGTTGTGGGTGGTCATTGTAGGGAGCCGGCTAAGAAAGGAAAGAGGCATTGACAGTGAAGAGTGGAGGGGGCTCTTGTATCAGGTTTCCCTGCTTACAGCATCTTCCAGTTACCAAACAGCATGAAATAATAAGGACAAATAAAAATGCCTAGGATAACTCTTGAGATGTTGATGATCTATGTGAGAAAACTGCCAACTTTTCTTTTTTTTAGAGAGAGAGAGAGAACCTTTTAACATTTATTTTTCAGTTTTCGGTGGACACAACATCTTTGTTTGTATGTGGTGCTGAGGATTGAACCAGGGCCGCACGCATGCCAGGTGAGCGCTCCACCGCTTGAGCCACATCCCCAGCCCCTCAACTTTTCTTGAGAAAGAAAGATTTGGGGCTGGGGTTGTGGCTCAGTGGTAGAGCACTGGCCTAGCATGAGTGAGGCACTGGGTTCCATCCTCAGCACCACATAAAAATAAAAAAAGGTATTATGTTCACCTAAAACTAAAAACTATATATATATAAAAAGATAGAAAAACTTGAAGAAAAATTAATTCTTCCTTAATTTTTTTTATTTTTTGTGGTACTGGGAATTTAACCCAGGACCTCACATACTAGGCAAGTGATGTACCACAGAGCTACATCCCCAGAACCATTTTATTTTTTATTTTGAGACAGGATCTTGCTAAGTAGCCAGGTTGGCCTCAAATTTGTAAACCTCCTGCCCTATCTCCCTAGGTAGCTGGGCATGGACCACTGAGCCTGGACTTAATTTATTTTGTTGTTTTTTTTAAAAAATAATTACAGAAAATGACACTGTAATTCAATAGAGTCTTTTTAGAATCGAATATAATTATTTTAAAATTCATCCGGAAGAATAAACAGGAGAAAAGGGCAAAAGAAAAATTTAAAGGCAGAACTTAATTGGAAGGAGAATTAAGCCTTGCCAAATAGTAAAACATTACATTGCTTACACATCAATTTAACAGATTAGTTAGGCAGAAATAGACCCAATTTTATATAAGCATTTAGAAAGGATAAAAGAAGCATTGCATCTCAACAGAGGAAAACGCATTTGAACAGTTGGTTAAAATTTTTGAAAAAAAGACATGTTAATTATCCTGATTTGATCATTGTGTGTTATATACATGTGTTGGAATATCACACTGAAATCCATGAATGTGTTTAATTATTATGTATCAATTAAAATCATTTTAAAAGTATTTGTGGACCTTTATTTTTATTCACTTATTTACATGCAGTGCTGAGAATGGAACCCAGTGCCTCACACATGCAAGGCAAGTGCTCTGCCACTGAGCCACAACCCCAACCCCAATCCATAAAATCATTTTTTAATTAAAAAATTGGGGAAAAAAAGGACTGGTCTTAAATACTACACCTAGATAAATTCTAGGTAATTAATTAAACATTAAAATTTAACTTTAGAAAAACTTGAAGAAAATACATTGAATATTAAGTCTGAAAGGAAATACATTTTAGAATTTTTCTATACTTAGCAATTTTATTTTATTGATTTTTAAAAAAGAAATGACAGTGGAATGCATTACAATTCTTATTACACATGTGCCACAATTTTTCATATCTCTCTATATAAAGTATGTTATAAAGTATGTTGACACCCAGTTTGTGTCTTCTTCTTTTTTTTTTTTTTAATTTATTTATTTTTTAGTTTTCGGCAGACACAACATCTTTGTTTGTATGTGGTACTGAGGATCGAACCCGGGCCGCACGCATGCCGGATGATCTCGCTACCGCTTGAGCCACATCCCCAGCCCCAGTTTGTGTCTTCATATATGTACTTTGGACAAGGAAGATATGTTGGCTCATAAAAATAAAATATCAACTTCCTTTTTTTTGTGTGTGTGGTGCTGGGGATTGAACCCGGAGCCTTGTGCATGCAAAACAAGAACTCTACCAACTGAGCTATATCCCCAACCCAAAATGTCAACTTTCTTAATTAAAAAACTAAAAGGGGGGCACAGTGGCACACCCCTGTAATCCTAGCAACTTGGGAGGCTGAGACAGGAGGATCACAAATCCAAGGCCAGCCTAGGCAACTTGGTGAGACCCGGCCTCAAAGTAAAACAAGAAGGGCTGAGAATGTAGCTAAGTTGTAGAGTGAGTGTCCCTGGGTTTAGTCCCCAGTCCTACAAAAGAGAGGTCCTATTATTTTATTTCTGCATATTTATTTAGTTCCTACACTTTGTGCAGGCCACCGTGCCTTGACTGAGGATTCAAGTGGGACTACAGCGGTGAGCAGGACAAACAGGGTGCTGCCCTTGGAGATCTTGCGTTAGGTGGGTGACATGACGGCAAGTCAGAGAAAATGTAACTCCCGTGGGCTTAAGCAATAGGGCATAGTGTTCCTGGCTCACGGAATGGAAAGGTCCAGAGACGTCAGCCCCAGGTGAGCCTTCATCAAGCCGCTGGGGTCTCCCCAAGACCCAGTTTCTTTCCACTTCTTATGCAACAAGTTGTTGCAGTGCTCATTACAGTGTTATGGGAAAAGGGTAAGAGGACGCAGCCTCTCTGGGTATTATGCATTCACTACAAATGGCTGCTATGAAGACTGTCGCACCAGGGAACAGTGCTCAGAATGCTAAGTGAAAAAAGTAGGCCACAGAATTTTATGGAGACTGATTACAGCTCTGCCAAAGGAAAAAAAATATTTCTAAAAAGTCTAGAAATAAATTCACCTAAACGCTAACCACAGTAGCGAGGTAGGTTTTGTCTGTTATCTTCAGTTCTCATCTTCCAGATTTTCTAGGGTTTAACTATCCTCTCTCCAGCGGGCTGTGTTCTCACTGCCTCCTGCACGTGCTGAGTGACCCGGTCTTTGTCCTCTTGCTGGTGTATGCCTTCCCCTTTTGACCTATGAATCCATTAAATATTTATTGATAATTGATACAAGGATATCATGTAGCTTTGGGAAGAAAATATGTTTATGAAAACACTTTGTAAAGTGCTTTACAGGTGTTAGTTGTATTGTAGGAGGGAAAGACTGGAGGAAAAGATCACATTATTTGCATACTATGGAGTCCTGTACTATTGGGGAGGTCAGGATGGAAAATCAGAACAGGGCTGTGACCCTCAAGGAGCTTACCATCTTATCAGCTGCACAGGGCCCGAACAACACCCCTGAAACGGTCAACAGTGATGGAAGGCTGAGGAGAGCAGAAGGAGGTGGCGGCGCCCGGAAGATGCTGCTCTTTGGCGTAAATTGCAATCGATTAGGGATCCTTTCTCAGACTCAAGTTAGAAGTGAGAGTTCAGATAAGTGAGGCCGCCACTGCTGTTTTGAACACCTCAAGGGGAGAATGGATTTATCCGAGTGGAAAAGAAGGGCTTGCTAGGAGTCAAAGAAAACAATAGAAAGTCCAGCACTAGGGCTCCTTCTCCTACCAAACGCAAGGACGGCTCTGATGAGAAGCCAAGGATGGCTCTAAAGCAAAGGGACCACCAAGGAGTCAAGGCGAAGGACCGGGCAGGGATAGGACTCGGTCCAGTTCCACCTGCAGCTCAGGATCCGGGACCAGCACAGGCTCCAGCAGTGGCTGCAGCCCTTCCTCTGCACCTCGGGAAGCTCCAGGACCTCCCGCAGCTCCGGCGGTTCCCGGATCTCCCAGGCACAACAGGCGGCGCGGCGCTCCAAATGCAGGCCACCTAAAGGGAAGGGAAGGAAAGGAAAAGGCGGAGCCCTTCCCCTAAACCTACCAAAGTGCATATTGGAAGGCTCACCAGGAATGTGACCAAGGATCACCTCACGGAGATACCTTCTACCTATGGAAAACTGAAATGACTGGCACGCCTGTGGGAAGGATGCGTCCTCATCCATGCAGAGGCTGTGCATGTGTGGAGTTCGAGAGTCCGGATGAAGTGAGAAGGTGCTGAAGCGCGTGGATGGAGGACAAATTGATGGCCAGGAGATGGCTGCTACTGCTGTGCTGGCCCCCTGGCCTAGGCCACCCCCCAGGCGGTAGGTCACCCCCACGGATGAGGAGGAGGTCACGCTCTCCAAGACGCAGGTCCCCCATGCGCGGGCGGTCCTGCTCCCCACAGAAGCCGCCCCAGCTCACATTCCTCCCAAAGCTCATCTGTACCTCATATTCCACCCAGCTCAGCGTGTCGCTTTGCTAGCTGAAGGAGGGTCAGCAGGAAGGACCCCTCCCTTGGCAGGCTTCAGAGGCAGCAGTTGGGGCCTTTCCTCTGCAGGCAGGTTCTGACTGCAGAAGTGCTCATGGTTCAGGGCTGTGCCCACTCAGGGGCCTGCAGTTTTCTGGCTAGAAAGCTCACCCATTCCTGTTCCTAGGTCTGTTCAGTGGCAGAGCCAGCAGGGACCAGCAAGTTTCCAGGTGGCAGTGTGGCCCAGCTTTTTCACAGATGACCTGAGCGAGTCTGGCAAACCTGGTTGTGCCCTTGCTGATGCTGTGCTATGTCTGCAGGGGACCAAGCTGCCATTCCTCTTAGGCCTGGCCTCCCCCCACACACTTGAATTCTCTTCCACCCTCTAGGGTTGTCCCCCCACCTGTTAATTGCTGTAAATGGTTCTGTCTTTCCATCTCCTCTCCACGCCCCTGCCCCACATATCCCTTACTCTCTCAAATTGGTGAGCAAGTTGAGAGCCAGCTCTGCAAGGTCATTACAGAGCCCCTGTTCTGACTGCCATTGGTGGGGGTCTTGCAGGATACCTTGGCAACGTGTATATTGCTTTTTTTTCCCTCATTGTACAGTCAGTACTATAAAATTTGTTTTTTGAGTTTTGTAACTTTGTAGCATTTTAGATAAGGTTGTGTTTGTAAGAAATCCTAATACAAGAGAAGGGTAGGGAGGCTGCAGAGCTAGATAAGCCTTGGAGGATCGAAGCAGGTAGATCCCAGAGAAAGGGCAGGGAGAGAGCTCGGCATGTGTGGGGCACCGTGAGCTGAGGTGTTCTGTGGGAAATGGTGGGAGGGGAAGTGGGGGAGAGAGATGGAGCGTCTCCCCTGGGGAACGTCTGGTTTCGGGGTTTCATCTCGTTTTGTTTTCATTAGCATCCGAATCCTAGGGAGCCAGGAATCTTTTCGGCCTATCTTGCTCAGCACTGAATCTCTGGTGTCTAGAAGAGTAGTTTCTGGCACATGGTAGACACTCAAAAAATATCAGTTAAAGGGAAAGTGGAATGAATGAATCGCACAGTGACGTGATAAATAAGGCTGATCCCAAAGAGGTGATTAGAAGGAGTTGAAAAGGTGCAGGCTGGTGGCAAGGAGACGAGTCACAGATGTCAGAGCACCTCCAAACCTGAAGTAATAAGAAGGCTGAACTGGGACCGTGGCTGCTGTTACGGTTTGGATACGAGGTGTCCCCCCAAAGCTCCTGTGCCAATGCAGGAATATTCAGAGGTGAAATGGTGGGATTGTAAAAGCTCAAACCTCTTCAGTCCGTCTTCTTTTTAATGAACTAACCAGGTAGTGACTGTAGATGGGTGGAGCACGGCTGGAGAAGACGGGTCACTGGGGAGTGTCCTGGAAGGGTTCGTCTTCCCTGTGGCCCCTCGCCAAGATGTTCTACCTAACGTCGGGCCCAGAACAATGGAGTTGGCCAGTCACGGACCGAACTGAAACTGTGAGACCAAATGAACTTTTCCTCCTCTAGATTGTTCTTGTCAGGTATTTTAGTCTCAGCAACAAGAAGCTAGCTAATACAGCTCTGACCTTGAAGGTAAGGAACTGGTACACAGATCACCTGGAAATAGCTGATGCACATTGGTGACTAACCAACTGGGTTCAGGAGATGAAGGAGAGAAAAGAATAAAAGATAACATTAAAGGAAATGACTCATTCTTCAAGACTTTGCCTGAGTTCTCTTTCTTGAAGCCTTTTCCAGAATCCCCAAGCCTGTGCTGTGTTTCCTTTCTGAACTCAGTTAACATAAACAATCTGTACCACTCTGTTGAAGGAGACAATAATGTATTTTCATGATTATAATTCAGACTTTGCATTGTATTTGTTTCCTCAACTAGATTGCAAGCTTTCCCCCCCCCCCATATAAGATGGTTAATGTGTTGACATCATAACAAGGTTTAGAGGGAGGCACATCTCACACAACAGTGTGAACACACAATCATCACACTTATGAACCAAAAAGGATCTAAATTGCAAGCTTTTAAAAATCAAGGCTATCTCTAATCCTTACAGTGCTCAGTCCTAGAAGATGCCGCATAATAAGTGTTCATTGACTTAAAAGAAACCTGGATTCTCCTCTGTGCTAAAGATAGCACTTAGTTCTATTTATTTATTTGTTTAGAATTGTTTTCAACTCTCTTAGTTGGTCCCAGGACATAGATCCTAAGTACCAATATCCTCCTCCTGGAAAAGTCAAATACCAACTATTACCATTGCCATCAGCAATACAGAATCTCATTTATTCCCTCATTTTTTCATTCAGTCATTCAATAATGGGGGAACAGAGTAGCATAGAATTTAAAGAGTTAGCATAGACTGGGTGTGGTAGTGCAAACCTGTAATCCCAGTGACTTGGGAGGCTGAAACAGGAGAATTGCAAGTTTGTGGCCAGTCTGGGCAGCTTAGTGAGACCCAGTCTCAAAATAAAAGTTAAAAGAGCTGGGCATGTAGTTAGGAGATGGAGTGGTAAAGCACCCCTGGGTTCAATCCCTAAAAATAAAAAAGTTAGCATGGGTTTGGGATCTTGCTTATAATGTTAGATCTATCCTTTACTGTGCATGCTTTAATTCCGCATCTGTAAAGCCAAGATAATAATGTCTACTTAATAAGACATTCAGTGAGTGCTTACAGTGTGCCAGGTGCTGTCATGTATTTCCCATTTTACAGATGAGGAAACTGAGACAGTAAGTTCCTCATCTAAGGATGCACAGATCACAAGCAATAATCAGGTCCTAGAACCTTGTGGGTAATTCTGTGCTTTACACACTCACAACTGCAACAATGGTCCACACAAAGCCATATGCAAGGATCATAAGACACATGTCTGGCACACAGTGTACAATGAATATGTCATTATTCCGTAAGTATTTTAGAGCATTTAGTATGTCAAACATGTAGGGTTAGGCTTTGAGGAATAAAGAGGAAAAAAGCCGGTGTGGTGGCACATGCCTGCAATCCCAGCTACTTGGGAGGCTGAGGCAGGAAGATTGAAAGTTTGAGGCCAGCCTCAGCAATTTAGTAAGACCTTGTCTCAAAATAAAAAATAAAAAAAAAAATAGAAGGGCTGGGGGTATAGCTCAGTGGTAGAGCCCCCTGGGTTCAATCCCTAGTAATGAAGGATAAATAAATAAGAAAGAAACTGTCCTCAAATTGCTACTAATCTAGTAGTGCCACCAGATATCTCTATGCCAAGAGGCAAACAATCAATCATGTACCATTACTGCTAAAATAAATTTTAGAAAGCATCCAATCCAATCGAGGCTCAAAGGTGGAGGTGGGATGAGTTACTTTAGGTTGAAGTTTGGACAAGAATCTAGATCTAACTGAAATGCCATGTCCTTGGCCTAAGGAAAGTGTTCAAAAAAGCCAGTCCCAAGATTGTCCCTATCCCAGCCGGCATCACTTTCAGAGGGCATTCCTTGGGAAACAGAAGATTGGGGGTGGGGGGGCAGGCAGAGAGTGACTGATGGACAGACCCAGGAACCTCTCAGCTCATCTGGCTCCCCTGAGTCCACATTCTTAATCATAATTGTGTTTTTCTAAATTTCAAGTGATTCTGGACATGGTGGCAGCACGCCTGTAACCCCAGTGGAGCAAAGGAGGCTAAGGCAGGAGGATTATGAGTTCAAAGACAGCTTTATCTTTGAACAGCAACTTAGTGAGACCCTAACTAATTCAGTAAGACATTGTCTCTAAATTTAAAAAAAAAAAAAAAAAAAAAAAATATATATATATATATATATATATATATCTATCTATCTATCTATTTATACACACACACATACATAAAGGAGGGCTGGGGTGGGGGCTGTGGTTGTGGTTCAGCAGTAGAGCATGCGCCTAGTACATGTGAGGCCCTGGGTTCGATCCCTCAGCACCACATAAAAATAAATAAAGGTATTGTGTCCAACTACAACTAAAAATTAAATATTTTTTCTTTAAAAAAAAGGGCTGGGGGTGCTGGGGTTGTGGCTCAGAGTTAGAGCACTTGCCTAGCATGCATGAGGCACTGGGTTCCATCCCTAGCACCACATAAAAATAAAATAAAGATATTGTGTCCACCCACATCTAAATAAATAAATAAAGTGGTTTTTTTTTTTTTTTTTTTACAAAAAAAGGGGGGGGGGGCTGGGGATGTGGCTCAGTTTTTAAGTGTCCCTGGGTTCAATCCCCAGCGCGCACACACAAAAGTGATGACCACTTCTCTCTTCCCTGCCTTCCATAAGGGGTTCCATTCCAGGCTACTTTTCTAACTTTGGTTTTTCCTTAGCTGAAAGATATAATCTTCCTGATCCTTGGACCGGACTAAGATCTCTTTTAGCTCTAAAATCATGGAAGTTTGGCAGGAGGGAGGAGCACATTTTTTTCCCCCTTTTGTCAATTGAAAGTATTACTGCATCCCCAGGTTGCAACCACTAGAGGGCAGCAGGTCCCAGAGCACCTGAGCAGGTGGCCACTATGGGGGCCCCCACCAAGCAGCTGTCTCAGACCTTAGTTGAGTCTCTTAGAGTTTCTTGTTGTTAATACCAATTTCAGTTTTTAAGCAAAGAGCAGCCAGCCAGGTTAGGGTGAGATGAGAGGGTAGTTCTGCAAATTAGGTCTGGCACTAGAAAGATAAAGACCAGTCTTAAAAAGAAAATGATTCTGAGACAGTAAATATTTTATGAAAAGTTGAAAATGTACTTAGTTCAGGTTGCCTACAGCTCACATCATCAAAGGCAGAGTTCTAGGAGCATTTTCCAGACTGGTAAAAATTTTGGAAGACTGAAAGATGATTTTTGTTTGTTTGTTTGTTTTTGTTTGGTGTTTGTTTTTATTTGATGATAAATACAGATTCATGTGCAGTTGTGAGAAATAATAGACACCCATATACATTTCATTCAGTTTCAATGGTAATCTAGTGCATAACCAAAGTATAATATCATAACCAGGAAACTGACATTGATTAGTCCACACACCTTATTTCAGCTTCCCCAGAGATGCTCTTTTTTTTTTTAAACAGAAGCAATATCTTAGCACACTGTAGCATCTCCATGAGTATATTTTTTTTTTTTGAGAGAGAGAGAGAGAGAGAGAGAGAGAGAGAGAGAGAGAACTTTAATATTTATTTTTTAGTTTTCAGCGGACACAACATCTTTCTTTGTATGTGGTGCTGAGGATCGAACCCGGGCCGCACGCATGCCAGGTGAGCGCACTACCGCTTGAGCCACATCTCCAGCCCCCAGAGATGCTCTTTTGTGGATGCTGTGTGCATATGTATTTAGGTCTATGCAATTTTACTACATTATGTAAATTTATGTCACTACCACAATAATCAAGATATACAATAATTCTGCATTTGTCAGAATTTTCTAGAAAAACAGAACCAAAAGGATGCTATGGTTTGGATATGATTTGGATGCAGTTTGGATAAGCTATCTTCAAGATGAAAAATAAAGAAAGCCAGTGGTTCAATTTTGTCCAAGTTTAACAGCCTGAGAATCAGGGACGTTGACAGTGTAACTCCAACTTTGAGATTAAAGGCCTAAGAAACAAGGGACTGATGGTGAAAGTCCAGACTCCAAAGGCCCACATACCAGGGGCTCTGATGTCTGACAGCAAGAGAAGATCAATGTCTCAGCCCAATAAGAAAGGGAGAGAATTCACCTTTCCCACTGTTTTTTCCCCCATTTCTATTTGGGCCCTTGAAACATGATTTTTAAAATGCCTAAGGCTTTGTATGCTAGACCAACTTTTCCTAGAGTCTCCTGAGAAATTTTAGTTCATTTCACATGTTAAATAAGCCCTTACTCAGAGAAGAATTGGTTCTGGAAGTTTTCAGAAAGCTCCACCAAGTCAGACACTATTTTTCCTTCTGGAAAGGATCAAATAACCAGGATTACCATGTGTCCACTGAACGAAGAGCACCAGCCTGGGCATCTTAAGGGGAAAAAGAAAGGGAGGAAGCTCAGGGTGGGTGGTAAGGAGAGCTGAGTGCCACCCGGCTTATCCTGCCATGATAGGGTTGAGTGGTCCCTTCATCTCCCGGAGCCCTGGATCCCTCTTCTATGAAATGTCAGGTTCTTCAAAATTATAGTCAAGTAATAATCACATTTCACATTATCACAGTTGCCTAAAGGTTCAGATAATCTGCCCAGTGGTCTTTTCAAGTAGGAAAGAGTTGGATTCCTTGAGAAGACAATTCCCATTAGTGGATTATGAGCTGGCAGAAGAGCTGCACACCACAGAACAGACTTAAGGTGTGCTCTACCATTTCCTTAGCAGCTACAGAGTAGAGCTTCGATTTGCTGTTGCCCCGCTGTCAGAGCATGGAGCGGCGCTGGTTGGAAGGAAGCTGCCCAGCGCCTTACTCATCCCGCCTCATTTCTGGGCCTCTGCTACCTTGCCAGTTGTTTCTGAGACATAGCAAGTCCTTTGTTACCTCTCTGCCTTTCCATATGTGAGTCCTTCCTCCTGGATTCTTTTTCCTGCCCTATCCTTTTGGGAAGCTTTTAGTCATCCTTCAAAACCCCACGCAGATGACACTGTTTTGTGAACCCTGTTCTCCCCGCCCCCATCTCCCTCTCCAGACAGTGTCAGTCAACCCTCCTCTGTGCTCCCCTAGCAACTGTTGCAAAACCCAACACCCTGCAGGTACTTGTTTGTTTCCATGCTGGCCCTTCCACCCAGATCTGAGAATTGCTGCAGGGGCAGGGTGGATCCTCTCCATGTCCCCAGCCCTGGCCCAGTGCCTGGAGGGTTGTGTGGACTCCACCAAGACTAGAAGAAGTGGATCCTCTTTCCTATCACCAGCAAGATGTTCTGCTAGGTGGCTAACCAGGTCACTGAAGAAATCACCGAGGAGGGAGCCCTGGGGCACCTGCCTGGCATCAGGGGCTAAATGCAGAGGATTTAATGCTATCAGTTACCATTTGTGCTCTGGAAGGCGTGCAGCATTCAAAATTTGGTGGCCGCTGTTGGGAACCT